CTCACATGGCGCCAACGCGCCAAATGCGCCTAAGAAATCGGTCATGGCGCCTAAAAAATGAAGGCTCTGCGCCAACGTGGCCCCTAAAAATTGCCCCCCCNGAAGGAAAATCTTAATTTTTCTGTTTGGCGATTTGATTTTTAAATTTCAATGCACGGCAACGGCTCGTGACTTTTCACTAGGTGCGCCGTGGTATGTAGGCAAAAAGTCAATTTGGCCCCTAAAAAATCTTCTAAAAAATCGCCATGCATATGGCGCGCTTAAAAAGCTGATTTTCAGCACTCTCTGACAACAACGAGGACGTAGATGCTTCTGCGGACGACCCAAAAATAGTAAGTAGTTCCTAATTACAAATGGGGTCTAGAATACCGAAGTCTGCCAGGTTAGGGTTAGAAAAAAGCACAAGGATATTCCTTTCCTGATTCATACACCACCGACTTCAATCCGAAATTGGACCCGAATAACGAAACTTCCGACACCAAAAAATTCTACTTTGATAAGTACCTAAAAATTAAATGCTTCTCGTAAATCTTGTGATTTTAAAAAAACAACATGACATATAGAAGTTTTATACAGACGGTTTTAAAGACTATCATTTCCACGCGGAGTAATGATTTTAAGGATCCTCTAGGGCTGTAATACAAATTGGTACATGGAATTTTCTGACAAATTTTTGCAGTATTCCCTGTGACATTTCAAGATATGCAAGATGGTTACAAATCGTTCCCTTCAAAACAAACACAACACATTTGCTGTTCCAAACCGCTCTTTACGTACGCTTGATTTCCGCATTTACTTAACAACAACCGGGGGAGGGGGGGGGGGTGACTTCATATAAGAAATCTACAAGCAGAATTACATCCGAAATTATACCCCGCGTAACACTATATGCACATTTTAAAGAACCGAAATCCCAGAGGCCTAACTATGACTGCCATTTTGAATTTAAGGCATTTTGGGAGGTGTTCAGAGGTCGGACCGGAGTGAACTTTTAGTATGTTGCGACAGAATTTGGAAAATGAAATTCCCTGACAATTGAAGACATGACAGATGGTTAAGAAGACATAATTGAAAATAGTTTTTGGGCAAAATATTTTGTTCGAAACTTCAAACCCATTTTAGAAGCAAATAGAAGTGATTTAGGAAATTTTCCCTGCATTCCCCGATTTTCACTGACATTTCCCGGTTTTCCCGGGTAAAAATTGGCGATAGGAGCTGCGTTTCAAAATACCATAAGAGTATTTAAAGCCGACTGAAGAAGGCGATAGAAAATCATATAGCTGGCTGTAGAAAGTGGAAAAAATCATACGGCCGGGCTACACGAAGCGATAAAAAAATTAAACAGCCGGGCTATAGTTCCTGTCGCCGGGCTTTACACTTTATCGCCTGGCTGTTGTTTTTTCGCCATCGGCAGTAAAAGGCTATAAGAAATTGTGTGGAAATTCGTGTGCTTGTAAATCCTTAAAGTTGTACAGAATCACCATAATATTTACAAAACGCACATTATATTTTTCTTTACTACATATTTGTTGTCATCAATTAAAACGAGAATAATCCATACAGAATGTGCAAACATTTCAAAGTCATGAGTTGAACACCACTGACTCCATGAGATTAAATATTAGAGCCTAACACAAAGCGGAGCGGCGGCGCACTGGCGCCTACAAACCCAACAGGGATACTTCACGCATTGCGCAACGCGTGAAGTATCCCTGTAATTACTAACATTTAGCATACACTTTATCATCAGGCTATTTCTTAATCGCCATTGGCTATAAAAGGCTATAAGAAATTGTGTTGCCGGCTATAGAAGCTATTGGAAATCTCACAGTCGGCAGTAGGTCTATGGTATTTTGGAACACAGATTCTACTGCCAATTTTTACCAGGGTTCCCCTACTGTGGCATGTAGTATGTTGTTCAGTAGGACGCACCGATGAAGTTTACATAAGAAAGGTTTGTTAAACAATTTATTCCGTCAGTAATTAATTTGAGGAGGCTAACATTTCCCTTCACTTCCCGGCGAAACCACATCACTTACGCACTGCGGAGTCCGAAATTCGAACTGTGCGTGCTTGATTTTTGCATTTAACAATGCGAGCATGATGCCTACATTCATAGCATTCATGCTTGATTCCGCATGTCAAAAATTCAAGACAAGTGAAGAGCTGGGATATTCCTCCATTTTTCTGTGATACCGTATCATTTACGTACAGCGGCGTCCGAAAAAGACGCGCGCTTAATTTCCGCATTAAACGATGAAAGTTAAGATTTTCCTTCATTTTCGTACAATACCACGTCTCATGCCTAATCTGGAGTCCGAATAGATGCCCGCTCGACTTCCGGTTTCAACGATGCGAGAGAATAATGTCGAAGTGCATTTATGAACGTCAGTACTTTGATTTAGGTGAAAATTTAAGATTTTCCTTCACTTTGCAGTGATACCACATCACATACCTACTTCCAAGTCCGAATAGTCGCGCACTTGATTTCCGCATTCAACCTCAACGATGAAAGCTAAGATTTTCCTTCATTTTCGGGTCCACTGCAATGCGCTAGTATCGTGTGTTTTTACGCGGACTGATACGAAAACGTGCCACATTTTTGACCCTTCAAAATATTAGCACGTTTTAGCTTCAAAATTATGGCAAAATTTGCACAATTTTCTGGGTCATTCCACGGGTAACGCGCCTACCCGGGCGCGTGATCGAGCATTTTCTGCACCCCTGGTTACCACATAAATTTACGTTGGTTGGTGCCTTTCTCCCATAGGATATTCGCCTCTTCTTGTCTTTTCCGAGTTCTGATGTGTTGCCCAGCATGTTTACCCCACGCTCAGACATTGACAGATGGGTCATTCCTTGTCAACTCAACGAGGTTTTGAACCTTGACCTCTCGGATCACGTTCAAACTTGGTGTGCTGTAAGTTCCTATTGAAAAAAAAAATATTCTCCTTTTAGGTCATTTCGTCGCTCCGTTAATTTTATATGGAATTTCAAAGTTTACAAAAAATTGAGTTTCTTAATGACCAATAAAACTTTGAACGGCTGTTACTTCTCAACGATTCATCGGAAAAAAAGAAGCTCTAAAAAGCTTCAAAACAAGACCTAGTTCAAGTTTTTCCGATGAACCGTTGAAAAGTAACAGCCGTTCGAAGTTTTAAGCCTGGTCGTATTGGTTATATTGGTCATAAAAAAACTCAATTTTTGCAAACTTTGAAATTCCGTATAACATTAACGGAGCGCCCAATCGACCTAAAATTTGGAGAATATTTTTTTTTCAAAAGAATATTTTTTTAGGAACTTACAGCACCCCAAGTTTAAACATGATCCAAGAGGTCAAGGTTCAAAACCTCGTTGAGTTAACATGGAATGACCCAGAAGCTCTCGCAGTCACGAAGGCTGTTCCCGCGGGTCGATTTACTGAATATGTATATAAAGTAGATAAAGGGAAAATGGAGTGGTTTCAGGAGTAATCCGGTTCAAAGACGGACGCGGTAGAGGCTCTCGCGTTCTTCTTGATGAGGTTTCTGCAAACGCAAGAGTCACGCTTGTTGCATCCCGTATTTATCAAGTAAAAAGCGAATGCTCCCACTTTCTTTAGTAACTACCCAAGAGGAAATCAGTTCTGCGAGGCTCGTGTATGGAAAGGACCACGCGAGTTGCGCTTGTTGCGGAACCCATAATTGAAGGGGAAAAATTCAGTCACGTCCTCCACCGATTTTGTGATCTCGAGGTCATTCGAGAGATTTACCACCCCCCCCCCCCTATGACCCTCAAAATCGGGTTTTCGGTTTTCTTGTTTTCTTTTTGCTAAGGGAATCATTGTTTTTCTTTTTTTTTACTGTGGCGTAAGTTTTGGGACATTTTTGGTCTTGGTGGACCCTGAGAATTCAAGGGATGTTGTTGCTCATCTCTTTGATAGTTTTATCAACCTTCTTGAAGAGGTGAAAGGGCATGTTTTTGGTTACCTTCAGACGTAACTGGTCCATTTTCTAGACCGGATATTTTATCCCAAAAATGTTTTTGAGGGTTTTTGGTAGTTTGTCTAATTCACTATGATGTTTCTGATTGCATTACTAGCTATCAACAGCAGGTGAATGAATCTAACCGATTGATATCGTTATAGCGTTTCTGTCAATTTCGGTGCCTCTTTCCAGACCAACTTCTCTCACACGAAGCAGTCAAATGTCACTTTCGTTGAAGTTATGGATTATTCAAGGCTGACAAATCAAAGCTGCAATGTCGAAGGAAACTATTTGGGACCGTTTGGGGACAGAATTACCCGAATCCAAAAGGTTCCGCGTTGATGGACTCCGTCAGAATTACTTGATGACTAGAGTCTCTACATATGAAAGCCTAACGTTTCTACAAAATGCTTATAGATCTCAGGAGTTGGTGGGTGGCGTTTGCAAACAGAAGAACCAAACGGAATCGGACAAGTTTACTTCAACAATGCACCTAAATCAACAAAGCGTTGCTTGTCCAATGAACCAACAGGTGGCCCCGCAAAATAACATTGTGATTGAGTTATCTCACAGAAGATGGTTGATACAGATGTTTGAGTTCAGCCTCAAATCTACTAATCTTTCACCAAGAGTGTGAACGACTCAGGTTGAAAATAGTTTTGAACATGATTGTTACACTTACTTTAGTCTCAGTTTGAACCTAACCTAACTTAAGTATATTGGGAGCACACCACACATGGTAGAATCGTGGACTACCCCCTAAAGTTGAATTGAAGAGAGTGCTTGTATTATCGACAACAACCCTCGAGTAGAGTACTGACTGCATATTACAATCACCTGGTTCTACTGGGGAAATGCTCTCTGATAGTTTTGAGTGCTGGCTGAGTCAAACCAACACATGATCCGAACACACCCACAATGAATTCTGGATGATTAATCTGTACCAGAATCGCAATTTCAACTGCTTTCGATTAGACATACGGAGATCTAGTGAAAAATCGATTGTTGGATAGGTTTAGAATGTTAAATATTCACCTGATAATGTGCCTGAGAAGAAACTGCTAGCTGGTATACTGGAACTAAGTGATGGAGGGTGGTAATCCAAAGGGCACTTTATCACGTCACACAGATAGCCGGTTTACATTCTATCTGACACTTACACTGACTATATGACACTAGATTGTAAGCAATGCTTTTGTTTGAAGCTACAGAGAATAATAATTCAACTAAAAATGATTGAACACAGCGACGCGAAAGAGTGAAAAGGCGATGAAAGGCCCGATTCCGCGAAAACGAAAACAAACACTAACGGATTTTGCGAATTTTCCCGCCTTCGCAAACGTGGGCTGTTGAACGGTGAGATTCGGCGCGGAAACGGTGCATGTTCTTTGCGCGGTTTTTTCGAATTGTCGGGCAGAAGGCATGCGCTATGGCTAAGGGTTGCGCAAGTGAAATGAGAAGCACGGAAGATTGGAAATTTGCGTTTAATATTTTATAAATATTACGCAGTGTAAAATATTTGACATGATTTCAGGGGCTGAGAAGGTAACACGCACTAACATACACCAGACAGCCCCCCCCCCCAAAAAAAAATTGCACCTAATTTCCAGAAGGATATTTAATTTCTGAAATTTCTAAAATTTCTCAGAATACCTATGTTTCAAGATTTCATTTTTCGTGCAAAGTTACACACCTGAAAGTACTTGGGCCTCATGCAAAAACAGCTTGGAGGATTTCTTGAGATTTCAGCTGTTGAAAAGTAAAATCTGAATCTGAAATTTCACTGTGAAGTGGAATTTAATTTTGCTGAAAAATGGAACGTTTTCAGTTGTCCATCATTCAAATGCTTGTAACATTATTAATAACGTAAATTGAGGCATCTTCAGGCTGCATGTTCTGCACGGTTTCAGAAAAAATGTATCAATGAATGCTGAAAAACATTAATGTTGACCCTTGTTAATTTCAATACACTGCTCACATGACATTTTGACCGTGAACTGCAAGAACGCACATCTCTGTTAGCAACGATGCAGAATTCCTTTCATACTTTATTTGTTAAATGAAAAAATACTCAACGTCTTGAAAACTTTCTAGAATTTACTTCTCCGTGTGAAATATATTCTGTGAAAATTTCAAGTAACGACGTTGGTCCAATTGCCTCCAATGAACTGAAGTTGGAGCGGAGATTTTGAAGTAGGAAACAAGATATGCATTCCTCCAGCGGGCTGATTATTGAAATTGATAGACAAAGCAATAGACAAAAGAGTCAGAGGGAGTATGGACTATGGAGCCATCCTAGTAGCTGAAACCACTAGACTACAGTATAGACCATGGGGGAAAATGATGAACTAACTGTAGGGTCTCTCAAGGGTTGCTATTAGTTAATCTAATACTTCCCTCCTTTGTCCTTTGTCTATTGTTTCCCTCTTTTGTCCATTGAAACAAACCGCTTTCAACAAGAGGATACCTCCATATCCCTTTTGCAGTATTTGTCCATTAATTCCAATAATGAGTCTGCAATTTGATTGTCGATTGGAGTTCCCTCACTTCCTCCGATTCCATCAACACTAAGAATCCATTTTCCTTGCATTCAACCCTAACCTTTAATACTGTCTCATCAAGGAAAGCAATATCATTGGTAGGAAATTATCCTAGTGTCCTTGTTACAACATTCCTTGTACTATAATTCTTGCATTTCTTGGTAATTACACTAGAGCAACTGATTTTACATCATAGAACTAAAAAAGAAATAATAATGTTTCATTTTTTTATTTTTTCGGTAAAGCTTTATAAAATTTTAGCTCTTATAAAACGAGTTCTTAAAATGTTCACTTTCGCTTGATTTATTTTGGCTTTCCCTACTTTGTTTCATAGAGTTTGTTCATTCAAAAACAACCCATCTCGGAATAATGACATTTTTCAGAAGACAATAAAAACTGCCTAACAGCCAGAAAAGAAGATCGAAGGGAATTTTTTTTTTGGCCAAAACACTGTACATGTAAGGAAAATATATATAATCTATATTACATTTGCCTACACCGTTTTGACAGTGTTGACGGTATTTTTGCCAAAAATTAATTCCCTTTGATCTATATTATGGCACTGATAAATGCATAGGCATTCAGTTATTCAGAAAAGGAGTGTTTCTACGCAAAAAAAGAACATTGTGAAAAACCCAAGTTGGGTCATTTACGAAATTAGATATTCAATCAAGACCTGGATAATGTTTATTCAAATCGAGAATCTTAGTGCATATTGATGGCCAAAGTACGGAACCACATGACACATCTCACGTTTAGTTAGCTTTGATTGGTTAGAAAAAACTTGTGAATGGAATTTGGAAAGTTTCAATGCATCCGTTGTATTCTACCTAAAATTTTAAACCATGTTTGGTGGTGCGTCATTCCGTTCCCAACTTAGTGGTCTAATATGTTAGATAAGCTCTTTTTTCCAGTAAACTGCTCAAAATCGTCGGTTTTTACGATATTCAAGTTGCAGGCAAAAGGTCAATTTAGGCATCTTGTCAAATGCCTCGGCAAAGTGTCAAACATTCTCACTCATATTGAAATTCTGGCTCTTCTGCTGTTTTTGAACAAAATAATTAATCATCTTTATAGATAGGAATTATTTTTAAAAATTTGCATCATTTTACTGATACTAATGTAGTTTTTAGCGCAGAAATAAACATTCATATAAAAAAATACAGCATTCTTAATAATACCAAGTTTTTATGATAGCAAAGGAAAATACAATAGTTTGTAGTTTGATAAATTTTACTTTCAAAAGATTGAAACTTCTAGAGCTTTCGTAGAATCGTACGACACTTTGTTAACTTTCAAAATTTACCTATCTGCCGAAGCATTAGATAAAATGCCTGGGACCAAATTTTGACGGCTTTTCCACAAGGAGTGCAACAGCCATCGACGAGTTCAAACTGCACCACCGGCCAATCAGAAGCGCTACGCCAAACTTAAGTGCAGTCGAGACCCGTCCTAAGTATATTATAGTACGGTGGAAGGACTAACAAAATTCGGCCCCTGAATTTACTATTTGCCTGCAGAGTTTACACCAACAAACAGAGAAAATTTTTAATAATGTTGGAGGAACCATTGATTTAATGCCTACTCAGTTCCATAGGATTTGACAGCACCCTACACTAGGAAGAGTGCAGAATGGAACTCTCGTACACCATAGAAATCATGGGTATCAGTGCTCGTACTTTCATGAAATTTTCCAGGAAAATTGATGGTGCCACTGTTTTCTACTGAGACTAAACTTCAAAGCTCAAAAATAGCTATCAATGTTGGGACTACAATTGGGGGGGGGGGGGGGGGGGGCTCTCACTACATTGAGAGTCCCCAGAGAGAAAGTCCCTAGATCCAGTTAAACCCTCTTGACACAGATAAGGAGTAAATACAATTACAGGGTTGCCACTTTTTCCAAAAATTCCAAGGCAATCATGCTTCCGATCTGTATCTGTGCATGGAGGAATTGACGAGGTATAGCGGTGGAATCCCTTCTATTTCAGCCCCATTTTAGAGAGCCTTTTTAAGCTTGGAAGTTTGGTTCGGAGAAAATCAATGGCACCATGGTGTTTCTTGTAAACTTTTACATCCAAAAAAGTACCTAAATTACCAATTTCTGAGACATTCAAAAGTTCCATTTCAGTGCCCTTCTTCCACTAATGTGACAATTGAAATAGAGTAAAAATATGCATTTTTGGAGCAATTCTGTTGAAACTTCTGAGAACGCCGATACATCTATCCTCAAGTAAAAGGCTCAAAATTAAAAATTGAGAGATTATAATTTTCTCAACTAAACATTTCAATTGTTCAAATCCGATATTCTGTCTTTATCAGCGCTCAATTTTGCCTGTAGACCTGGGGGCAGTGAACATGTACTCAGAACATGTAAAATTGAAACAGAGAAGGATTTATTTTTTAGTAAACAAATTATTCACTTCCTTGATTTGAGATTGACAAAAGTAAATAATCTCTAAATTAAAATATAAATTAAATAAAAAACAATTGAAAAAAGTTAGAAACAAAATTAATAGGAGATGAACATTTAATGACTAAAACACAAAAAAACTGTTTCGAGACATTAAAAGGAAAAATAGTACAATTAAATTGTTATCACTAAAATGCATCGATTAGCGTACAGATTGCAGCACGAGCTAGCTCTTGATGTCTTCGAACCATTAAAGATGAGATAAATTTTATTGAAAATTTAGACCTACAAACGTAAAAAATTAGCTATGCAGCTGAGGCGCATTAGGAATTGATTAAAGCGATAATTTCAAAAACACAACTGTTTCAAAGAAGCAATTTTAGGCATAAACGGAGGTGCGGGATGTTCTTAGGTCAATAAAGTGCTCACCTGGCCTGGAATTTCCCCACTCCTCTTCAACAACCAAATTTTCTTTTCATATGCAGAGGAAAAATGGAAATATTCGGAATTCAAAAGACAAGTTACCTACATTTCCATCGCCTTGAAATAATAGACTAACTTATAATTTTAAAGATTAAGTTGATATGTACAAGCAAATAATTTACTGGTCACATTGACTGATACAGTAACAAGCTACGCTACTAAATCCTAGGGGAGAATATAAAACATTTTTAAGCGTAAGTGTACTTTGTCCATGGTTACCTTAAGATAATGCATAGTCAAGTGAACAATCAACAAATGCGTTTTCGCAGAGCAATTTGGAGTACATCACAGAAATTATGACTTTCTATTTCGGCCGATAAGAGCACTTTAAATCAGATTATTTCTTGAAGGTTTAGACTGTAATAATCTACCAAATTCTCGGTTCTTTATGCTGAACTTTAAATTAGGTTACTTGGAACATTCCGCACCTATCATACGCATTAGGCGCCGAGTTAATCAAGAATGGCACCCTCCCTAGTGACTCATACATAATTATTTAATTAATTAATAGAATAACAAATTATTCAGTGGAATCCAAGTGAAGTCTACGCCTAACGATTTGCTGCTAATGGAATTGCCAGGTTCGAGAGAGAGGAGTGAGGTACAAATGCAATTTGAATAAAAATATTAGTTATCGAAAGGAATAAATACATTTACAACTTTTAATCCTGTTCCCCGTTCTCTGTTTTCATCTTTTCATCTTGCGTCGACTCTTGCGATTGTTCGGGCGGCGGCTGTTGTTTGGCGGGTTCCGGCGCTACTTTGGGCATCGTCGAAAGGAGTTTGATTTCCGACACCGCTTTCTGGAAAACAAAAATTAAGACATATGTTAGGGCAACGTTGGATCCATCAGTATCCGCAAAGTTAGCAGTGAATCAAACATAAGGAGTTGGATGCAAAAAGACTCTTTCACGCTTGAAAGCTTGTCACAAAAAGTAAATTTTTTTACTTCAAGATTCTGAGGAAAAGCAGTACAAAATGTTATCCTAATTTCAAAACTTGGCAATATACACTGATGATACACTCTAAAGCTGGTGATACAAGTTTGATTTTCTATAGTTTTTTGTATGACATGTAAGGTCATCTGAGGATCACAATATGATTTTTTTCCTGATAGAAATTTCTTTTTCCAGAATTTTTTCTCACAGAATTTTGGGAAAAGTTGTTCACTTATCAGGATTTTAATTTACAAGGTACTTATCAAAACTCATGAAAGAAGACTGTCCCCCATGATCTTTAGTGCTAAATTGTTAAAGTGAATGTTCATTGCCTGAAATATATTGGAATCTTGGGTGGCACAGGAATTTCAACGAGTTGTGGATATTTTAGAGTTGAAACTTTATTTTCTTGTCAATGTTCACGGCTTCTTCACAAATGAAGCCCTGAGAAAGAAAATTCTTAGGATCTTTATATGGAGTTAATTTGACACTCAATGCCACAAAGCTTTAAAACCGATCTTTCTACAAACCAAAGAACCCCATTTATAACTCTATAAGATCGGAACACCCAAAAACCTCCCTTTAACTAGTGATATTCACGTTTTAGAAAAATGGATGAATTAAGCGCTTGAAACTATAAGCAGAGACCATTCATTTTTTAATAGTTATTGTGCATTTCTTTCGTCAAAATTCAGAGAAAAGGATTTCTTAAAAAATGTAGGTTGGCCTTTCCAGTGGCGGCACTTTTCAAAAAACTATACGAAAAAAAAGCGTTGAATCATTTTTCTATGAATTTTCCACAGAATTTTATTTGTCAATCAATTCATCTGAAGCATTAAGCAAAAAATTTTGAATGCGCTTTTTCTTTCTTTCTTTCTTTCCTTCCTTCTTAAAAAAAGAGTTCTTTATCACAGGAGATTTGTTACCCTTTAAATGTTGATAAAATATGGGCTTGAACCCTGCCCTGATAGCACAGGACGGGACTTACCTCTTTTTCGGCAAGTATTTCTGCAACAGAGACGGGTGGGTTCTGGTGCAGAGGCGTTGCGCTGAGGATTGCTCTCTTCTCTTCACACCAGTGGTGAAGATTGCGGATATTTTGTTCGCTCTTCTCGACCGTTGCAGGGTCCAAGTTTTTCAGCTTATCTTCCCTTGCTTTGTACTGCTCTAAGTTCTTGAACGCAAGTTGGATGGCTACGCTCAGTTCTTCCAGTGCTTTGGGCCTTGCTTCATACTCCATCTTCCGCTGGTAGATGGCATCACCGATACTCTGAAAAGGCCAATATAAGAGTGAAATAGGAGGGTTTCAGAGAGGAAATAAATGCATAATGGGTCAGTTGTGCCGCTCACAAAATTAGGTCTTGATGCTTGATTCTTGTAGATTAGCTAAAAATATTAAGATCTATCTAAACAGCAACTTCCTACATTCAATATTAACAGAGATATCGTGCTTTGAAAAGTCGGGTTTTGAACGTCATTCACGGCAGTAATGCAGAGGGCGCAACACAAAACTTGAAGTCTGACTCAGAGTACTGAACCCCAAACCTGACTCAGCTTGAGTGTTTGAACAGCGCTTGATGTTCTACTAGAATAAGTTTCAAGATTTTTCTAAGTTCGAGTCTTTTTCGAAAAATTTTCTGACTTTTTCCTGATTTCCTTGACTTGATGAGATTTCCTGACAGTTTCTGGTTTTCCAGACATAAAGGCACCCTACTACACCTGTGTAATTTTATAAACAGGATACAAGAGTCAAGCTTGAAATGCGACACAAAATCTGTGAATTTCAATTCATAATCTTAATTCATTCGAAAAAGGGCACAACTCTACTTTTTTCTACATTTTACCAGGGCACCCGTTTAAAGACATCTTTTTGTGCCTTTCCAATGAATGTATTGAGCATTTAAATTACTTTTACAATACCATAGCATTGCTTTAGGTGAATTCTACACAGTTTTTTGACTCTACTGAAAAGTAACAACTTATGACAAGTGTCCTTTTTCTGGATGGTCCTTCACTAGTATTCATGGATCAATTAAAATATGGATCCCAAAAGTTTGAAGAGAAAAATCAGATTTACTGTGTGGGAGCAAAATTTCTTCTCCAGGATTTCTTTGAATTTTCAGGAGCTTTTCACCCTATTCAAGAACTTTTCAAGGCATTACAAGACCACGATGCCAAGAATTCTGCCGTGCTACGGAAGAATGCTGTAAGAACATTCGGAAGTTGCCTAATTTCCTCCAATAAAATGCCTATTTTTAAGAAAAGTTATGAATATTTTTCCTTGAAATTTTCAGGAGCTTTAGGTGAAATTGCGAACAAACTCATCTGAAAAATTGGAGGAAAAATGCTCATAAGTTTACCGGGAAATTTGCATTTTATCAAAAGAAATTTGGCAACACCTGTAGGTTCATACGGCGTTTTCCCTTAGCATGGCAAAATTCTTGACCATGCCCATTCCCTGATTTTTTGCCCATTTCCAGGAACTCATTTCCTGATGAGAAACCATAATTTTTCGCACTTTCCAAGATTTCCATGAGAAAATTTTTGTAACCCTCCCGAGTTTCAGATGCGAATACCGATTTTTTTCGTCTTTCAGACGATTCTTTGGAGCACATTTGAATTTTTAATTCTGCAAGCATTCTCAATGTTCACATTAACGGATCAATGAAAACTTCTCTATTATCCTCACGATTTCAAGATTCAAGAGGTCAATAATGGTGGATCAGGCGCAATGACATAAACCTTAAAATGGTCCCTAAGAGATAGAATAAGAGTTTCTGGTACAGATTCCCTGATTTTCTTCAAAATTTTTCATTCCCGGATGAATCCCACTTTTTCTGGTTATTCCTGATCTTAGACATCATGTCCTTCGCATGTAGTTGGTCATCAATTAAAATATGGATCTCAAAGGTTTAGAGAGAAAGTTGCAATTACAATGTACGAGAACATTTCTGAGCTTTTTCAAGTTTTCTTCGTCCATCACTTTGTCTATCGATTTCAATGGGTCAGTTGCGCTGGTCTCAGAATCGTGTTATGATGCTTGATTCATATCGATCAGCTAAAAATAATAACTTCTGTCCAAACAGCAACTTTCTACATTCAATACTAACTGAGATATTGCGCTTTGAAAAATGCGGTTCATGATGTTATCCTCTGCGGCAGTGACACTCCTTGTTTCTTCCACCTTGCTTTCATCCGAGTTTCGCATTGAGTAATTACTGAAAATGTAAGTCTCCCTGACAAATGAAAGCAAGGTGGAGGCAACCAAGGGTGTCACTACCATGGTGGATAACGTCATAACCCAAATTTTTCAAAGCGCAACATCTCGGTAAATATTGAATACAAAATGTTTAAATTAGAGCAAACATTAATCAAACAAAAATCAAGCATCAAACCACGATTCTGTGACCAGCGCAACTGAACCATAGCATAACCAACACGCTATTCAAGAAGTAACTTCTAACTTACCCTTAAAGATCCAAGTTTGTCCATGTAAACCTGCTTGACACACTCTTCCCCTTCCTCGTAGAGCCAGTTCTCCATCTGATCCAATTGCTCGACTAGCGACGATCGGTCCTTCTCAACAACATAGGCCGAGAGTTCTTCCGACAGCTTTCCTCGGAGCTCGTAAACGTACTCCTCCAGACTGTTACGCGCGTCAACTCGGTCCTTTTCCTGACGGTCGGCGGCCATCATCTGCCCCTCAGCCTCGAAGAAACTGCTCACTTCGCTCGAGGAAAAGCCCGGCAGGAACTCTTCGATTGGCAGGTCTACTGATTTCACTGTTTTCCGCTTTTTCTCTTTCTTCTCCGCGTCGTCGTCCTAGAATGAAGATAAAATATTAGAGGCTTATCAGCTTGGTTCTTTGATCCTGGTGGATTGAGTGGTGTTAGATCAAAATGCATGGATACATAACATGCAAATGAAGTAAATGCGGAGATAAAGAGTTTAAAAATAAGGTTAGCAAATCATTTTTCAACAAAAAAAAATCCCTACCACAAGCTTTCCTGCGACTTCTTTCCTACACTTTTTTTTCGTCCCATTACAATTTGTACTCAGAGTAAAATGTCCTACTGGTTTATTTCCGATTGTATTTGTCCTAATTTTAATTAGAATATTAGTTAAAATAGTGGGGGTGTCTCTTAGAAATCGATGTAAGTTGCGAGGATGGATTGAGAACTTTTCCCTCTGCTCCGCATTTGTTAAAGTAAAAATTACAATTAGGACAAACACTCTGAGGGGCAAAAAACCAACAAGATATCTCACTTGAAGGGCTTACGGTAATGGGACAATAACGAGTGGGGAAAAAATAATTGGGGAAAATTGTGGTGGGTAAGAAAAGTTTCGGACAAATAACGTACCTAAAACCAAAAATAAGGATCAATATGGTGAAAAAGAACAGAATAAAATTAACTGTAAAATTGGTAAATATTTTTAAAAAAACCTGTAGTTTCCAATCGTTCAGTGAAAGTCTTCTAGTGCTATGCACAAGCATGAATTCAAAACTGCATTAGAAAACCCCTAACCGCATCAGACATTGTCTAATTTCTTCTACGTTTCATTTTTTTAACCAGAAAAGTGAGCAACACTGAAATTCGAAATTTTGTGAGGGTTTTCTTCGTAATCTGAGGAAAATCCAGTGAAAGTTTCAAGGCAAAAACGCAAAAGTAAGTTGAGCAACGTGAAATGCAGTTAATACATAGATTTCGGTTGTAATACATCTAAATGTGGTACACTGATGACTTTCACACACACAAAAGAAGCCTCATCTACCGCACCAAACTATCAAGTTGATGACAGATAGTAAACGGGCGAACGCTTAGATTGAATATTAGCCAGATTATTCCACAATTTAAAAGTCTTGAAGTGACATAAACACAGTACAGGGCTTGGAAGTTTGTCTCATAAACGCTCTGACTTCACAATATCCCTGAGACCTGGAAAAACTAGGTGACACGGCTGTCCTGACAGCCGTGCAATTAATCAAACTAAGTTTCTTTCACATTCGAATAGTTACCAGATTAGTTTTTCACCTCTTTACTGATTTATACCCGGAAGAGAAATATTAAAAGAGACACAAATATGCACAGGCAGACTTTCAGGACTGCACTTTACGATAAGAAACCATGTATTGTAAAAACAATGTATTTCTCTATGCAGATGAGTGGCTCAACGGATAATCTAGTCCCTCATTGCATAATGTAGTCCATTTCTGCTCAGCTGGAACATGAGAATCCCTTTTTTACACATTAAAAGGACTCATCTCCAGTATGACAAGGGCCCTAAGATTGATAAGAAATCATGCAAGACAAGGTCCATGTCACGATAAAGATGGTTCTTTTTCATTAAAATACGTCCTAATGAAGTCAAACTGAGAAAAACTATCAGTTCTTATAACACTACAATTGCCAAGCTACGAAACCACATATCTTTGTTTGCCATGTTGAAGACTTTCTGCCATACTATAATACATCTTTGAATTACGGGTCAACATAATTCCTTGAAAACGTCCTTACTTTTTCTTCTCTGTAATCAAAATATTTTTTTTATACATTTCATTCTATATAGTTGGCTTGTTTCTTTTCGAAAATATAAAATAGAGTGGAAGTATTGAGAAACAATGAGGATACTTGGTTTCGAACTTGGGCCATCGATATTCTGACAAAGATTTTGTCTCCACTTATGACAGATCATAGATTTATGACTTATGTTTGAACATCTGATGAGGGAGTTCCGAACACCCCCCCCCCCCATCTTCTTCCTTGCTCAGGAAAAACGCTATATGAACATTTAAAAAATCACGTAATCTCTACAGATAAAAATTGTATTTTTGGGGGGATTGGAGCATGTTACTATTCGATTTTTCACAGAATTTCATTCTCAATTTCGTTTAAAGTAACTGAAAATTTCAAAAAAAAATAATCATAGCTAATTTCTAAAACGAATATTTGATTAGCAAAAAGTTCGCAACATAGGAGTTTTCTGGCTCATTTTAACAATTCAGGAACAAAATTAGTGCTACTGGTTTCCTTACTCAGATGAATACTTAAACGGATTAGGAGCCAGAAATAGTCCCTTGCTGGAAAATAAAGTCCAAAATTGAAAATGGTACACCCCAGGCAAAACCTACGTCTGACAGAAGAATGGCACAATTACACTTGATGAACCTGAAAAGTGTAGCGCTTGTTAGAAATATTGAAAATTGCTGTCAACAATCCAATCTTCCCAGCAAAAATGTTTTTTGAAACTTGAAAAAACGTTGCAGCCACGAGAGCACATTCCATGGCATATGCGGCCTTGCAGGTAATGAATCAAGCTCTTTCTAAGCATCTTCAAGAAAACTGTCATGCATTTTCTGGCACCTTTGTTTAAAATTCACTCCTTGGTGTGTGGTACCCTGTACTGCCGTTCTAAGGGAAAACGCTGTAGGGACATTCAAGAGCAATCAAATTTCTATCGATGAAATGCTCATTTATGAGGAGAGGTGTGAATATTTTCTCCTGAAACTTTCAAATAATTTAGATCTAATTAGAAAGAAAATTCTCTGAAAAACTGAACAGAAAATATTCACAAATGTATCTAAAAATTCGCATTTAATTAAAGGAAATTTGGCAACTGCAGAATGTTCATACGGCATTTTTCCTCAGTAAGGCCGTATACCTAATTGTAATGTAGAGTTTTCAGAATGAGAATTTCATTTATTTTTCTGAATTTTCCTTGCATTTACAATCATTAAAAAAAAAACTCATCCTGCCGTCCATAAGTTATTGTGCTGAGGAGGGCCTGGCCTCCTGTCACATGGCAGGGTGTCTACTAAAACAGGCTGGTTTAAAATCAGTACATTAATGGTACTTTTTTAGTACCGTCCTTAGAAATTCAGTGCCTCCTCAGCGGAAAAGCCCAGTGCCGCCATTTGAGGAAATTCGGAAAATTTTGAAGTTCTTACTCAAAGTACGACAAAAATGATGAACACACAAAATTTCATAAAAGGATTAAAGATTAAGTGACTGCACAATCGCGATCTTGCAGGCTAATCCTACTCTAAGAATCATCGCTCAGGGGAATGCGTTCTTTCCAGGCCTTGTTAAAAACACACGTGGTATGAGGGACTAAATTCCGGACCGCCCTTAAAAAATCAGTAATATTTCCAGACTTTCTAGAAATTCTGGACTCGTAAGCATCCTGCACTAGGGTATGGAAAATCCCTCCAGTCCAAGGTAGAGTTAGAGGGGTCTCACAGAGATTTTTGCGAGGAAAAAATGTAATTAGTTTTTTTTGGAAAATAAAAAACATCAAAGATTTTCACGTGGACACACATTATTCACATTGAGCCATCGGTGCTAAGTTTCGAATTTGTGTTTTCTTTCGAAGATCGTAATCGGATGCCTCTGATCTCAAAGGGGAAAAATCACTCTGAACCCTACATACACAAAGAACGATGAAGTTGAGTGGCTGTGCTCTCTTGATAACTGGCTTCTTCTGTTGCTAAAGGCTGTAACTGGACTAAAAACACACTAGCTTCAGTCACGATTTCAAACTACATGGACGAAATTGAAAAATACTTCATTAAGGTACCTGCCCTTGCATTTGAGTTCACGAACAACCTAAGTGTTTGTGTTATCGTCGTTTCCCAGATAAAAATACGTTACCCAATTTCAACATTGTAAAACTTAACATAAATTGTACTTATAATGTCAAATAAAATACTTAGAGAATTTTCCCATTCACAGAAAGTAGGAAAGCGAATTCAAAATACTGGGAGGAGATAGATAAGACAGAAAAAAAAGAGTTATTCAGGTTGGCCAGGTGAGAAGGCTGAGAGGAGAAAATGCTGCAAGGTCGTTATTTTATGTTCATGATATTGACATCGGGAGGGAAAATTGCAACTAGGGGCTCATTCCAGTGATCCAAGATTAGAGTTACGAATTGATTGTATTCATAGACATTGCTCAGATTTTTTCCAAGTTCGGCAAAGAGTCATTCACGAACATTTTTTTTCCACCATTAGTCTGATAATACTCGAATTTGAGACTAAAATCTTTCATTCGATATCTTAACTGATTCACTTTGCAGATAATACTCAGCTTTAGTTTTCAGATGGCTAAAAGATTAAATTTTTTCATGGAGTTCTGAGTGATGGTTGACGGACAAGTTTAGCACAACGTTAAATAGTTTGAGTTTAGGATGGTGTAAATGCTGCTTTTAATTGTTACTGGACAAAATTAACCTTAATTTGCGGTCAATTGTAATACAAAAATTGGGACCCACATTATTTTTGTTGAATTTATCTGTCTCATCAAAATTGATTGCACAATCTGTTACGGAAACACACTCAAAATTCGATAACATTATTTCCTGTGAAACTGAAAAACAGATTATTTGCCTTTTGCTGTTGACAGAAAAGCAGTACTTGGGTAACTCCAATTATTAAATGCTTAGGTCTCAATAAAAATTGAGGGGCACTTGGTGAATGAATTACAACAGTAAGAAAACATTAGAGCAGAATCATATGAATGACGAGATGATTAAAAAATTTGCCAATACTGGCACTATCAGCATAATTATGTCTTATTTTGTTAGAACCTTTCCTGCATACCACATTTTTATAGACAGGGAAAAAATCGTGAAAACACTATGAATACAGCTTACATTATTTTAAAATAATATCAGTATATTCTGCTGGTTCTCTTATCAAGAACACTCACTGCTAATTCTTGGGTCAGCAAGGAATAAATTATGGCAAATAAGTGAGGGGTTCTTCACTGCTGAATCTTCCAGACTAGCTTAAAAAATTTAAAGCAATTCACTTAAATATGAGAAAA